GAGTTTCAGGAAAATCCACATACATCGAGTAGACAGGCATCCACTACATTCAATGCTAGCCATACATCGAGAGTAAACATATTAAAAGAAAATAAATTGCATTCCCATAAGATGATACCTACTCAGCAGCTCATGGAAGACGATTTTGATAGGAGAGCTTTTTTTGTGAGCAAATGATGGACATGTTGGATAACAATATTATCCAATTAGAAGACGTTATGTTTTTTGATGAGTGTATTTTTTCACTTAACGGTCATGCTAATCTGCAAAATTGCCGCTACTGGGCCACGGAAAATCCTCACTGGATGAGAGAAGAACACACTCAATACCCTCAAAAGGTTAATGTTTGGGCAGGTATTGTAGGAAACAATATCATTGGTCCCTTTGTCATTGAGGGCAACTTGAATGGCAACAATTATTTGGCACTACTTCAAAATAATGTCATTCCAACGTTGGCAAATTTATATCCTGATCCAGGAAACCCTCAAGTTTCAGCGAATACGATATGGTTTCAGCAGGATGGAGCACCATCACATTACCAACTTAATGTCCGGCAGTACCTCGATACAATATTTCGCAATCGGTGAATAGGAAGGCAAGGATCGATTGAATGGCCAGCGCGATCACCTGATCTTACATTATTAGATTTTTTATGGGGATATGTGAAGAGCCAAGTTGTCAAAACTAAACCTTCTGATTTAAACGACTTAAAAGAACAAATAACGCTTGCGATTAGGTGGATCACGCCTGTTCTGTTAAATAATGTTAGAAGACAGTTTTATTTGAGATTAGGATGTTGCCAAGACGTTCGCGGTGAACATTTTGAACATCTACTTCATTATCATTCATAGTTTTTTTTCGTGTTCTACATTTTATTACGTTTTGCATTACATTTTAGTTTTTGATTGTATTGTAGCGAATTTCGGTAACCACATGATTTTAATTTATTTTATCTTAATTAATCTTAATAAACTTGAAAGCGACAACATTTTTGAATGTAGAATGAAAAGACCATTCAAACGATATATCACAAGCCTATACTTCCTATTTTAAAAATTGGGGGTTGTACCTGTCATTCTAAGGGGGTTGAAGGTAGGGGTTGCATTTTCACGTTAAAGAATGTCAAGTTATAATTTAAATTTGACGTGTTTCGGGATTTTTTATAAATATGTACAGTAAACTAAATAATATATTTATTCTATTTGGCTTTTACACACTGTATAGATATCGAGTCATTAAAAAAAGTAATTAAAGTTGACGATGGAATGTATTATTTATAAAACTTGTTAATAAAACAGAAAGGCACCTGGTCCTGATAAGATAAACAATGAACTGCTAAAATATGGAGGAACAACACAACGCAAATGGCTCCTAAAATTATTCGTCGATATAATAAATACCGGAGTAGTACCAGCGGAATGGAAGGAAAGTCTCCTGCTACCGATACTTAAAAAGGGAGACTCAAGAAATCCTGAAAATTATAGATTCAATAGTCTAATGAATAGTACATTAAAATTGTTAATGGCAGTCATAAAAGATAAAATCGAGGAAAAAGCGAACATGGAGGATGAACAAGGCTTCTGGAATAATCGCAGCACAATAGACGCAATTTTTGTTATCGGACAAATAATAGCGAAGTCTTGAATATGGAAAACCAGCATACATGCGCTTTATAGATTTAAAAAGTGCTTTTGACAGAGTGAAGCGAAATGACATCTTAAATGTATTACAAGCTAAACAAATATACCATCAGATAATAAGGACAATTTAATGAAATTTACAAGAACAACAAAACTAGAGTTATAATGTCAGCAGGAGAAACATAATGCATAGAAATAAAAGGAGGAATCCGCCACGGAGACTCGCTCAGCCCATTGTTAATCAATATGGTGATGAATGAAATCATTCACGAAGTAAGAAAACGACACAGATACCACATGGAGCGCATAAAATCAAGATACTATTCTATGCCGATGATGCAGTTCTAATTGCTGATAACGAAGATGACCTACAAAAGTATCTCTACACCTTCAATATCACATTAAACAAACTTAATATGAGAATATCAGTAGAAAAAACTAAATGTATAGTAATCAGTAAAGAGCCGCGTATATGCAAACTAGAAATAGACGGCAAAAAAGTAATGAAATTCAATTACCTAGGAGTAGAGATCACTAGTGACAGGGATATAAGAACAGAGACCACAAGGCAAGCCTCAAAAGCGGCAAGAGTAAGTGGTTGCCTCCGATATATATATATATATATATATATATATATATATATATATATATATATATATATATATATATATATATATATATATATATATATATAGAGTGAATCCAGTTCCTAACAGAAGTTTGTTCTAAGAAATATTTCACACTAAATTATCTTGATTGGCAATCGTAAAATTTGCTGTCACTTCATATATAAACATTATCGTTGAAATCATTTTCCGTAACTTTTATCATCCCATGACGTATCTAGAGCTTCTGAATCAATATTTCATTGTCCTTTCGTTCCCCGTTTGATGCATTACCCGCCACAGAGTCTTGTCTAAACAAATTTTATATTGCATTATAGGCAGTGATTTACGTCATCATTGATTTCAGTTCTATATTTTTAGTACAAGAAAATCTAAAAGTATTTAAGCTTTTCCAATAAATGCAATTAATAAATTGATCAATCAAGAAATCTTTGACTTTGACAAGTTGTTTTCTTGTGATAATATAAAGGATCGTCTACGATATTATTTTCAAAAAATAGCTACTAAACAATTCAGTAGTTACTAATTTATGTATAACACTAATAATGAAAGTAGGAAAATATGCACGTCAAAAAGTAAGATATACTCTCACATGTGCATATTATTTGTATTTATATTTTACTCAAAAATAAATTCGATGACACAATTGTATCTTTTATTACTGCTACAATCAAAAAAAATTTCAGTAGTATATTTTTATTACATTTGCGTAATTCTTTTTAAATAATATATTTATTGGAATTATCGGTCTGTCTTTCGTCTGTTATCGAAACACCATTCAGATGTGGTTAAGAAAATGGCGAATCAAGGTTTATGAAAGTAAATCAAACCATGTAACTTTTACAACTAAACGTCTGACATGTCCACTTGTACAACTTAACAATCAAGATATACCGCAATCCGATAGTGCAAAATACCTTGGTATTCATCTTGATATACGACTTACTTGGAGAAACCACATCTTCTATAAACGAAAACAACTCGGACTAAAATTAAGACAACTTTAATGGCTACTTAGAAAAAGATCTGTGTTATGACTAGAAAATAAATTATTAATATATAAAGTAATTCTAAAACCCATCTGGACCTATGACATTGAACTGTGGGGATGTGCAAGCGAATCCAATATTGAAATCCTGCAGAGGTTCCAATCGAAGGTCCTTAGGCAGATTGTTAATGCACCATACTAAGAAATAAAAAAGTGTAGTGGTAGGTATTTAAAGCGATTAGAAATTCACCCAAATTCTAGTGCGGTAAACCTACTGGACAACAGCAGGGAAGTGAGAAGGCTTAATAGACACAAACCATTGGACTTACCAGATAGATTTCATAAGTTTAGAATATACGAAAAAAAAATTTTTTAATATTAATTTTAGTTAAATTTAATAAGGAAGGTATCAGCACTGGCAAGTATTCTTCGCTCATGTTAATTTATCTGTTTGAATTATCAAATTTGTTTATTATACCAACAGGACAGATTGAAAATCTTTACCTGGAAAATAAAAAAAAAGTAAGATATACACGCATGGTTAGAGCGAAGGTAGTCTTAAACGTAAAAAAGGAACGAAGAAATATGGTAACAAGAACTAAAAATGTTACGTTCAGAATGACGTGCAAGATGGAACCGATATTGAACAACTTAACGAAAGGTTGATAGATGCTCTAAGGAAGGCACAAAGGAAGTGTCAAGTTACGCAAACAAGGAAAAATAAAAAACTTATAGAAGGCACAAGGAACCTAATGCAAAAAAGAAGGGAAATGAAAGATTTAAATGTAGTGTAAAGTCGACTTAAGCGCCTGGTAATGCACTTAACGGTATCTTGTCATATGTAAATAATGGACTTTTGTGATTGGTTGAAATTTTAAACGAAAACCCGGCAACAATTATGAAGAAGTATTTGTTTGTGTTTAAATGACTGCGGACACTAAATCCATTCGCCAATCTTACAATTTGAGGTGTAGTGTGTGTGTGTGTGTAGAGTAATTGTCTTGATACTTAGCAAAGTCGACGTCATTGTCTTTGCTAAGAGACGCTAATTGTATCCGAACGTCTGCGGCCCCTCCGGTGTGTACCGATCACACAAGGATAGAAATTATTTTCATTTATTAATTTTTTTTTTTAATAAACGAAAATTTCCACCCACAACTCACGACCTTTAGATTTAAAGGCAGGCGCTCTTACCACTGAGCCACAGAGGGGGTATAAAGAAGTAAAAAAGCGAGTTAGTTTAGTGGGGAATAAAATTTTCTCTCAAATCAAGAATAAGGGCACAGAACATTAAATTATTACTGTGCATAATGATGCTGTGCAAACTGCAAGTTCTATGTCCACGGTTGTCAAATTTCAACGTAACGGATAAATTTCATGTTGTCAGTTGTCATTGTCAGAATTACTTCGAATTTTGTGGTTATATTTATAAAAATATTTGTCGAATTAAACAATTATTTATATTATAAAATATAAAATGCCCGTAAAAGAAAATACAGAAACACATACACCAGAAAATGAAAATGTTTGCCAAGAGACTCAACATCAACCACCGCCCACGGAAGTGCGTGAAATTACCCAAACAGATAAATTAAACAAGCACCTTTTGCAATCTTTCCTTACAAGAATTAATCAATCTAATTATCATTTTAACACAATAGATGGTGAAAATCAAGAAAAAGGGAACGAAAGTGATACAAATAATTTCCAATAAGTCAAATTTGACATATAAATATAACCTAAAATAGTAATTAAAAATCGCGGGAACAGGTCACTCCATATCTAGTTTATTTTTATAAAATCTCCCTTATTGAATAAATATGTCTTCTGATAATGAATCTGTGGGTGAAAATGAAGTTGAAGGACGGGCTGAAGAAGACTCTGGACCAGAAAGTGTTAATAACATAGAGGAAGAGAGAAATGAAGATGAGACTAATGTTGAAGATAACCAGCAAAATGAAACCAAAAAAGATGATGATGAAACCAAGAAAAAAGAAGTTAAGCCCAAAAGAAAAATATTGAATCCGATGCCTAAATTTGATACACAAACTATAAGGAATTCTAAAGGTTTACCAGCCATTACTGGACACTTCAAAGATATAAAATTTAAAGGAAAGGGATATGAGGAACATGATTTAAATATATTAATGAAAACCTATGAGTACTGGTGTCATAGATTTTATCCAAAATTTACTTTTGATGATGCTATTGCGAGATTAGAATGGCTTGGTAACAAAAAAGCAACTCAAGTAAGTACAAGCTTTTGCATTAATTAAATATTTTGTCTAAAATTACATAAAAAAAAATTGATAAGTGTACTACCACATTGTACTGTTACTAAATAAATTAAGACCCGATCACTCAATGGACAGTAATTACAAAGATGAGACAATGTTTTCTACTATCCTCATCTTTCTTATTATATGTTTGGTGAATTTTCCCTTGAACATCTGAAGTTGACTATGGGAACTAGTGATGGTGAATGTGGTGATTTTTAAATCATGCAAGGATCAGTAACCGTAATTTTTAAATAACAGTGATTTTAAATGGTGACTGTCATCACCATTCTTTTATATACAGTAATAGGTAATTACAGTAATGATAAACTAAACAACATGATCACAATCACTATGTTAGGTAGTACTTACTATAAATATAAAACCATATTGATAATAATGAATATGTTTAACTAATATAACTAGATGGTTTGACCTATAATAATAAATTTACAATACTAACAATTAAAGTAATCCATTTAAAGCACTATACAAATTTCCATGATAACAGGTCCTCTTTAAATAAAACTAAAAATAACTTTAAAATTTCATTTAAATTTTTTTTAATTTACTGACAATTTTACAAGAAACGGTACAATTTGAAATTTAATAATTATAAATGGAATAAATTGTAAAAACCAAATTTGTTTTAGGTGTATTTGAGAAAAATCAGAATGGGATTAGAAGATTTTCTTGAGGAAGACAATAAAATAGCAAGTGATGATGAAATTGATACTAAGGGCTTTGTAGAACCAAATGTAGATCAGTTTGATAAACTTTTGCCAGAAGCCGCCAAAGAACCTGAACCCACAGATGAACAACTAGAAATGATAAGACAAAATAGACTCAAGGCTGAAGCTATTAGGAAAGAAAGGATGTCTAGGATTGGGGGTATGTCAAGTCAAGTATCAAGTTTCCAAAGTCAAAGTGAAAACCATTCCGATGAAATTAGAGAAGTGCATGAAGACCATGAACAAGAGTTGGGTTTAGATAACATGTTAGATATGATAAATGAAGATGATGAAAGCACATCAGTGGGTATTTCAAAAGGCGATGAACTTAAGCAGAAAATTTTTGAACAAAGAGTTTCTACTGCCATTAAAAAAAATGCTGTTGCTAGTGATAGTGAAGAGGGGGAAGAAAATGTATCCCAGAATGAAACACACAAGAAAAATGCACTTGCCAGTAATTATGATTCTGAAAACCATAGTAGTGATCACCAGACAAGCATGAATGATGAAAGTGCAGTGTTACAGACATCTTTAATAGCAAAAAAACACAAATATACAATATTTGACAATAATTCTCAGAATTTGGTTGAGAAAAGGAAGAAAATCACAGTAAGTGACAGTGATAATGATTCTAATCCAAAGCCTTCCACTTCCAAAGATCTATTTGTATCAAAAAAGAAAGCAAATAGATCACAAAGTCGAAAGTCCCAAATAAAGAAATTTGTTTCAAGTGAAAGTGAAAATGAATTAAATGATTCAACATCTTCTAAAACTAAACGTAGCTTTCCAAGAAATAGAAAGAAGAAAAATAGTAATAGTAATATAAATAAATTGAGTAGTGATAGTGAATCAGTGAAAAATTCACCAAGAAATAACAGGAAAATAATAAGTGATGAAGACTCAGATGATACCAGTAATAACTTATCTTCTCAAAGATCTATTCAGAAAACTCATATTTCACAAACAAATGGTAAGGGAAGGGCAGTTTTAACTGATGACAGTGATATATCATCCAAAAACTTAAATGGGCAAAATTCAAGTGGAACTGATAGTGATGGTGAATCAGTTGTTAATTCAAAAAATTCTCAAATTAATCCAAAGAAAAGAAGAATCTTAAATGAAGACTCTGATAGTTCAAGCGATAGTTTGGTTTCTGAACGTTCTGAGGACAATAGAAAACATGTTCAAATAAAGAAAAAGAAAAAAATATTAATAGATGATACAGATAGTGAGGTATCTCAGAGTTCCTCAAAAATGAATACAGAAGATGTTTTGGATAGTGACACTGAATTTGATACTGTTCAACATTCTCAAAGAAAATCTAAGAAAAAAATTGTTTTAAGTGATGAAGACTCAAATGATGCAAGTCACAATCCATCTACTGAAAATTCCTCTATCAAAGAAAATGAATATTTGAATAGTGACAATCATTCACAGAAAAATGGAACAAAGACAAAATCAATCATAAGTGATGACGATTTAGATGATAGTGATAATGTATCCTCTCAAAAATCAGATATTCACGCTGTCTATACTGAAAATCAACATTCTCAAACTAACACCAAAACAGTAATTGTTAATGACCAAGACTCAAACCAAACAGGAGATGCATTGTCTCATACTAACAACTAACAGATTTGTAGTTGATATGTCCAAAATATTGCATCAAATTAAGAAAATATCAAAATGAAAACAACCAAAGGAAAGAAGTAGATGAAAAAAAGTAACATTTGGAAACTGCAAAGTGCTTGAATTCAGTCAAAATAAATTTCATATGGCTGAACGATCAGAAAAAAAGACATTTTAAATAGTATTGTAGAACAAATGAGTTCTACACAATTATTGTATGTCCTAAATACAGTTTATTGTATTTTTATATACTTCTATAGATTAGCAGAGCAATATGAAATTGATACAGTAATACTTTACCACTCTAATTAAACCTAATCTAAAATTTTCGTTGGTATCAAGTTCAAACTACATTTTGGTATTTTGAAGTAGAGTATTTTCAAATCTATAACTTAAAATAATAATTTTTCCAAGATAATGTATTTTTTAAACTAGTATGGGATTTTATATTTAATTTTAGAGAATTTTTTTTATTTATTCCAATTTTTCCCGCATGTTGTTATGATGTTGCTGATGAAATTTGTGATGCTAGAGTATGAAAAATTGCAGACTCAGACAATAACAAGCCAATCAGTGTCACTTAGAAATAATAGTCAAATAGAATTTAAAACCTTTTTAAACGAATACATATTAACACTCTGGTAAGTTCCAGTGTATGTTAACAGCATTTTTTTTAGTAAAAAAATAAATTTCATTTCATTCATTATGCTTTACAATCTGTAGGGATTATAGCTAACGTTATGGTGTTCAAAATCTCATTCTTGGCTGAAGTGGATTATTCATCTATGTTATTTCTATCTGTTTGGTTTCTAGGATAGGGTCGATTTGATTTTTACTAACATTTGTATATCTCCAGGTTGCCTTATGTTTCCTTGGATGCTCAAAGTTTATCCAAAGCTAAAATTTCTATTACTAACATAATAACCTGTTATAACCAACTTCCTATTTAAAAATAATAATAATAGATTTGAACATTTCCCTATTCTCACATAGATAGATTCTTATTCTGATTTATAATAAGTATTGTATGATCATGACCCCTCTTTTAATACTTCCTGTTTTTTTTTAAGCAGATATTTATCTAGATGTACTATGCATTTGGTTGTCATACTATAGATCCAATGAAAAAACTAACATAGTTTTCAAAAAATGAGATATGGTTTAGATTTTAGCTACTTGCAGGGAATGAAATTTACATAAATTAATTTATTGTTAACATCTACCTGTCTCATTTAAATGGTAAATCCACAATCTATTGTAATTATGATTTTTCTCGATTGATCAGCATTCATAAACATTTGAAATATATTGAGATATTTATCCTTTACTTTTAGGGGTCATGAATTGTAAACTGAAAAATTATTATGTATAAATTAAATGCTTAAGTTATATTATTTTCTCTGTATCGTTTAACCCAATATTATCAAACTTGTTTATTAGCCTACAACAAATGTTGTGCTAATGCAAAACATTAATTTTAAATGTAAAACAGTGTTTTATTACTAATATAACATTTTAAATGAAAGAAAAACAGAATTCACTAATATTTTGAACACTCAGTGCAAGTTCCTGACTGTCTACAATTGCATTCTTGGTAATACACAGTGGTGTTAAAAAGTTCTGCATCACCTTACCAAATACATGAAAATAGAAGTTAGAAATTTTCCTTAAATATTTTTTAACCATTTACTATCTACATCAAACAAGCACTTAAAGACAATATTATAAAATGGAAACGCAGCAAAAATTTTGATTAATAAAAAAAATGTAGTTCGGAAATTTTTTTATTCAATAGTACAAAAATTGGGCTATTTACATCAAGACGATATTGTACTCACATTGAAGTAATTTAAAATAATTTTAATATTTAATTGGCCAGTCCTTGTTTTTAATAACTAGTTCACATCTTATGGGCATGGAATTTATTAATTTTTGCAGTTCCTCCATGGAAATACAGTGATGCCAAGCGTGGATTAGAGATTCGATTTATTTCGTTTTATTTGTGGGTTTGCTTATGGAAATGATGTTTGATGTCCTTTGCCACAAATTCTCGATGAGATTGAGGTCCGAGGATTGCGCTGGCCAGTCCATCCTATCAATTTCATTACTCTCTAAGCTTTAACCAATTTTGCCCTATGGCAAGGAGCATTATCATCCTGAAAAATAAATTTTTCTTCTCTAAACAGGTTTTTCCACTACGCAGTATGTTATTCTGTAATACCTTAATGAATTTGGTAGCATTGATTATCCCAGAGACAACGTGTAGGCGTCCAACTCCTCGAGCGAACATGCAACCCCATATCATAATGAAGGTTGGATGTTTAATTGTGTGAAGAACCCATTTTGGAGAAAATTCTTTATCAGGAAATCGACTGACGTAGGCATTTCCAGCATGATTATTAATATTGAAAATATTGGATCACTAAACAGTACACTCTGCCACTACTTTGCTTTTCTGAAAGAAGTGGTTTCTTCCTTGCCTTACATCCTCTAAGTCCAAAACTAAGCAGTCTTTTTCTCGCAGGGGAAGTGCACACGCTTACACCTGTAGATTCATACCACAGCTTCGTCAATTGACTGCAATCACTGTAGATTGATTACAGTTTACTGCGGATGTTATTTCGCGACTAGATATATCGTTTTTATGGTGAAAAATAATTTCAAAACACTTTTCGTCCGATAATTTAGTTTGTTTGGTCTGGGATGACATTTTGAGCTTTTTATCAAAAATCAAAGAGCGAATAAATGTGTTAGGGTAACTACAGTGTTTATATAGTCAAAATATGTGGCAAATTTGTAATTAATATAATCAATTTAATAGTACTTAACAACTTAATAATCACCTCATAATTTTCTCGGATTATGAGAAATCCCTTCAATCAGATTATTTTAATCTTTTCTATAAAATTTCGAGCTAGTATTTAAAAAGGCATTAGTAAGTATACCGATAATGCTAATTACAAGCACAAACTTAAAATGAATTAGCGAAAATATACAAAAAACTTGTGTTAAACCTCAAAAACTATAAGGCGCTTAGGTGATACAGGACTTTTTAACACCACTGTAGTCATTGGCTATGGCATTGGTCATGTTTTTGGCTTTGCCAATAAAAGCAAATTTTCCATTTTTGTTCTTAATATGTTGAAACTTACACTGCACGGACATCTATGTTAACTATACTTTCATACAAAGTAACAATTGTGTCTTTCATGGTTGGATAACAAACTGGCTCAAATCTATCATATACTGGTGCCGATATATGGAATTTTGACCTCGTTTTAATGTGGTATATCGTTGCTTTTAATGCAAAATGTCATATGTTTCAAAATGTACTTTTCAGAAGGCAAAAAAACAATAATATTTCTGTGTGAGTAGTGTTTTTCTCCAAATTAGAAGATATACAATACATATTGTCCTTTGTTTTTAAGTATATCTTCTATTTGGACACAAAAACACTACTCGCGCAGTAAATATTCAGTTTTTTTTTGTCTCCTGAAAAGTGCATTTTGAAACGTATGACATTTCGCATTAACGGCAACGATATGTATAAATAATATGGAAAGTAAGATATTAACGTAAGGTCCTTTGTTCCTCAATTATTATTATTATATACACATCGCCGTGGCTATTATGTTTTGCAGAGTGTCACAATGTCTACCACTTATGGCCATTCTTATTAATAAAACTTTTATTTCTTGAGATAACTACATACTTTGGTTCTCCAAATATCCAGCTCGTATGATAGCAACATTTTCCATATCATCCACAACAATATATTCCTCTAGATGTTCATTAGAACAAGGAGATTCGATCAAATTGTCACTAGTTTCATTATGCGATTGTAATTATCTGACGACTAAATCAGAAAGTAGCAAGTACCTCATAAGAAGTGCTGATTGTAAATAGTCAAAATGACTTCCAAGAACTGGGACTGATAAAATTTACAAATGTCCGATAATTTGGGGTTAAATAATTACAAAATAAAGATTTGAATGTGGAGTGATATTTTTGTACTGTAATGTTTTAGGTTATGTTATTGAAAAATAAAACTCTCAAAAGTATAATATAATTTTATTATTTAAATCACATCTTTTTCACTAAAACTAATAATATGTACAATTAAAGCACAGTATGTAACATTGCATTTGCTTTTCATTTCTTAGCAGATCTTAAAAAATTAGAAAATTTATTTGTATCTACACAATGTTAGGATAAATATTACCTCTAAAAATGTTTTAAACTTGAGACTAAGGGCACTGGATATACGATGGTGGTCTAAGAGTTTTGATTAAGAAGACTAGCTGAAACTTTTTGTGTATGACTACAATTGTTATGTTATACATCAAATGACAAATATGTACTATATGGAATGTGGACAGGTAACATGCATGCATTAGTATAATTTGATATAATTTTCCCTTCTAAACAAACTTAAGTTACCTATATTTTCACAATAGTCCATCATAAAGAAATTTGCAGATAATTTTTTTTACTCCATATTAATAAGGCGAAATGAAACCTGGTACATACCTCACATACAACATTACTTCACTTATCAAACTTTATAAAAATGGTCTTAAAAATATGTTGGTGCACATTATTCCAAAAAATTTCACAAAGGGTTAAAACGAAATAGATAATTAAGTTTGTTTAGAATCAAGACCACATATGGAAACTGATCACTACTGATGTGGTTTGAGACGTCAAAATGCTGATGTTCCTTACAATGATAAAAAATACTGTAAGATCTGATTCTTATAGTATCAAATCAATAGGTATTGTAGACTGGTCCGTAAAAAATTATAAAAAATAAAAAGTTAATGTTATCATTGAGTGCTAAAAAGGAAGCATATTGCTTTATTATCACAGATAATATTTTATTCAAAATCCTAAATTACTGGATTATAATTATGTGTATAATGAGGTTATACAGTAAAGTAAATTTTTGGTCATACAGTAACATATAATCTTTGGATATAGTATATATTTTATAAAAATATTAACTCAGTGTGTTAGAATCATATAATGATAAGCAAAGATGGATACTAGTTCGGGACGGTGTTCCTAATACGGGGTAAGGTCCTTATCTTAATGTGTGTACGTAATCTGATTGCTCAACCTATTGTTAGTACTTTTCATCTATTCTGAGAAAGCCAGATCAACTGGTATGTTTCTTTTGTTTTAAGAGAATCGATCTAAAGAGACTGGATCTATTCAATTTTAGTGTTTCTATTTCATATTTTAATATGACAGATGACATATAAAATCATATTTTAATATGACCAATTAATATTATATTTTTTACATATGTGAGTGATATTTCCTGTGCAGTCTCCATTTTAAACATGTTTAAATTGAAATGGATTAACTAAACAGTATTTTTTTTCTTTTTACGTATTCAACTAAATTATCTCATTTGATTGCATGTTTTTTTTGTTTTCAACATATTTAATCTGTTGCAAAGAGAGCTTAGGTTAGTTAAGACCGTTTTATGAAGATAGCCTTTTATAGAAAAATTTAAAATATACCACTCTTTAATCAAAACTCTTACCCCTTATATTATGCTTGTTTCAAACAAGATATAATAGTATATTTTTTAATTCAATAGGGCGTTACCAGAAACACTTCTAAATGAGACTCTAGAAGTTAACAGGTACAAGAAACAAAATAGAATATTATCGGCATAGCTTATAGGTTTCAATTCAATAACCGGCCTCAAAATGAAAGGTTGGCCAAAAAGAAAATATTTTTTCGAAAATATTAAATGCTGTTTAAACTTTGTGATTTAAATTAGTTTTATTTACTTATATTCAACAGTTTGTTCCGATTAAAATTCGTTGTACATATTTCACGGATAAAGGAGATTCTTTTGTTCTCGTATGAGTTTTGACACTACAAACATTTGATGTAAATTGTTAACTTATTCAAGCACATGATACTATTTCAGATAATCACTGATATTGGCTTCAGAGGCTATATGAAGAAGTTAAAGACCACTCCTCTTGAATTTAACAAAAACTACAAAATAGTTAGGAAGTAATCCTTTTAAGTTACAAATCCTATTTTAAAATATTAGATCTGAAGTCAAAAACTGCTTTATAATGAAGACTAAAGAAGCAACACAGCTATATTTTTAAATGTTTTTAGTGTACGATGACTAGATAAAACTCATTAAACAAAATTAGAACCAGTATAAAACAAAATAGATAATAAAAGTTCACATAAAAACTCAACATATATACTGAAAAAGCGATAAACGCTTGTAATCAACGCTGATGAGTTAGACTAGAAACACAACTATTTGGATATACAGCGGAAGACAGGACAAAGAAGTACTTTTTTTTAGTTTATCAAGAAAAAAAGGAGGTATTGGGTTCATCCCTTCATTGCAAACAATATAAATTGCAGAGCATTTGTTGTATAGGCAGGGATGTTTTTCCACTTCTTGCACTAATTTTATATTAAACGACTGTTCTACCAATTTCGCATGTTAAAAATATCACAAAAAACTAGAAACTAGTCCCCAAGCGACCTGCACGTCCAGTCTGCTGTCGACTGATCACTGCTGCATTAGAGACCGGTTACTAACTAGTAGAGCTGTGTGCGGATACTCATTAAAATAAGCAACTGATTGGTAACTAAAGTTACCAACTGGTTTCTTTTTAGTAGCTTCATGTGCGGATGGCCTTAGACTGTACAAGTTTTTTTTTGTGTAAAAACGTTTTTTAAAACAAACAATTTTTTGGATAGTTATCGCCATTATTTGTAGGAACCAGATGAGTTGTTTCTTCCATTTTCTAAACACCATGACAACTAACCTCAATTAGTCACCCTGATGATGCAAATAAAGATTTGCGAAAGCTTGGTAACCTAAAAAGAGTACTTCTTTGTCCTATCTTCCGCTGCATACCGAAATAATTGTGTCTGTAGTTGTAAAAATATTCCTATTGGTACTCTGGAGCTAACAAATCAACTATATGAAGCTCAGTGGATAAATAAGTTTTTATTGAGCTAAGATTTTTTCTTTTTGCAATGCCTAATAAAATAAAAAGAAATTATAGAGATGTTTCATATAATCCTCTCAATTCACAAAAAAATAGAGTACGTATCTAACACAAGAGGAGAAAAGATATGAAACCTTGAAACTGTATACAAATCCAAGAAATTATCGATATTATCAATAGGCAGAATACAAAACTTATGATTGAGAAAAACCTTGCGAGTTTGGAACGACTGCAATACCATCAATTTGATTAAAGTGGAGATTTCAAAAATAACTGCCACCAGCCCCCTTATTTAAATGATGTATTAAAAAGAATCCAATGACTACAATATGTGACCATACGCTGAAAGATGTTATGGTTAATTTTTAATATATTTATATATAAAATCCGTCTTACTTAAAAAATATAAGTATCAAAGTTTTATAAATGACAGAGCTTGGACTGTATGGCAAAAAGACAATTAACCCAGTCTAGAAATGAAAAAATGGTCGATTTCACGGGAAAATTTAAGTCATAGAGGGGACATATTTAATGAAAATTACGTATCGAGGTACTCTCAGGTCGGCCCTATTATTTTATAAACAAATACCAAAATTCGAAAATATTGTGTTCTATCTGTAGCATTTTTTGCTTAGGGGCCTTTTATTAGGGGGATTTTTGTATTGTGAAACTACTGTGTTATTAAAAGACGAAAATTGTGAATCATCTCGCGACATTTTTAGATTTTTCAGGGAAATGAAATTTTTTTTTTTTGTTAAATGTGATTTTTTCGGTCGACTTAATTATAAATATGTACCATAAAATATTACAAAGTTATTCTATTGGTTTCTTAGCAAAAAATATCACTTTTTTTAACGATTATTTAAAGAGTTTTTTTAGAAAAACAATTGTACGAATTAATGTGAACAGAGATCGAAATTCAGTTTTCATAAGTTGGCACACCTACTGTGCCTATTCTGTCAACTGTTTTGTCAAAAAAAAAAACAACATAACCTCAAAACCTTATTAGTATATTGTTCAAAAAAACACGTGCTTTGTGTTTTATATCATTATTATATTTTGTTGTATCTCAGGTTATGTGCAAGGTGGTGTTATTTTCATTGATTTAACTGTGCAATCAGGTTTAACTTTTTAATATGGAAATCACTCCTAGGAAAAGAGAAAGGATCATAACACTTAGTGAGCATACACCAATGACTCAGAGGGACATTGCAAAGGAGTGTTGCGTAAGTTTGGGTGCAGTAAACAAAATAATTAAACAAAAAAAGGAAACAGGGTCAGTTGAAGTGCAGCGGAAAGGAAAATGTGGAAGAAAACGGAAGAGTACTCCTCGAGATGAAGCCTTTCTTTTGCGCGACAGCAAACTTCATCCCAAGAAAACAAGTTATGTTAAAACAAGTTAAAAAAGGATTAAATTGGGCAAAAAAATATGCTCATTGAAGTGCAGAAGATTGGAGAAAAATGTTATTTTCTGATGAGACCCACTCCCTAGTGCAGGGTCAGCGATCAAAATTCGTACGAAAGGCAGCCAATGAGTCACTTTCAGCTAGCCATATTAACCAAACAGTTAAACATCCCACCAAAAAATGTTCTGGGGCTGTTTGTCATACTCATGAACTGGCACTTTTATTCCTATTGTAAGTATGATAAACAGTGAAAAGTACAAAGCCATGCTAGGGCAACGCTTAGCTATAGAGCTTGACAAAGTACAGGCCGAAGGGACTGCAATTTTTCAACAAGATTCAGCTCCGTGCCATGTATCGAAGGTTATGATGAAATACTTCAAGGATAATAATATTACCCGTCTTGATTGGCCTGGTAATTCACCTGAACTTAGTCCTATTGAAAATTTGTGGGCAATATGTAAGGCTAAACTGCAAAAATTTGACTGCACGACAAAAACAAAAATGGTGGAAGCAGTGATTAAGGTGTGGTTTAGAGATGAAGCAATCACAAACAATTGCAAAAAACTTGTAGATTCCATGCCTAGAAGACTCCAGGAAGTCATACAAGTAAAAGGGGGACGTATTAAATACTAATTAATGAAAAAATCTCATGTACGTGTACCTAAATTTACCTTTGGCCTAAATAAATCATATTTACAAATTAATTATGTTTATTCACATTAATTAGCACAATACTGTAGTTTTAATATTTAAAATCCATTGCTCCTTGTTAAATAACTCTAGAAGGATACCGTGGGCATCAATAAATGATTTTTGATATATTTGATAAATATTTAACAATAACTCCTTAACTAACAAATCGATCTGTTAGAAATTTTGCACTTAATAAGTAGCCTTAGTAGACACATAATAAGTAGCCTTATTACCACCAAGATGTTTTATTTTATTTACGGGTATTATTACAAAAATTATTAATATTGATTAAAAGTGCAAAACAATTATTTTTTGCAATCACCTTGGCAAAGTATTGATGGATTTCAATTTTTTAAACTTCAAATTAACCGTCTCTTCATAACACGATAGTTTCTCAATATAAAAAGGTTTCCTAATATAATAAACAAAAGGTACGGCCAAAAAACTATATATTTTTTCGAAAATTGTTCTTTGTTTATAAAAAAAAAATATGGCAGATTTGACAGTACCTGGATACGTATTTATTTTATTATTGTATCATGACGCTGAAAACAGAATACAATTTAATAGAAATAATAAAACCTGATATAAACACTGGCAGCATACAAATCTACATCTCATCGGTGGCCATAAGATTTAAAATAAAAAAAACAATAACAGATATATAGAAAACGTGCAGATTTCGAAAAAATATTGCAATATATATTTTGGCAACCTTACATGTTTAAACACAAACAAAGATATAAAATTTTGCAATAACCGGAGTAAATCTAAATATTGAAATAACGACTATCGCAAATTTATATATTTAAAAATTACACCTGCGCCAATAAAAATATCGAGAAATAAATTATTTTGTTTATCTCAAAACCTGTCACTCATCACCAGGAAGGATACCCTCATTTACCTTGTCTTAACCCATGAAATTCTTAAACAAATATCAACGTGGTAAATTAAACAATGTATGTAGTGAATGAGTCGATATTTAATATAACTAAATAGCGTTTGGAATCTCGGGAATGAGGGATGCAAAAAACGTAGCAAAAAATGTCCACACTATCATGAACCTCGATGGAGCTGGTTCTTCTACTTGCGCTTGTTCCGGAGGGCCGTTGATGTTATTATTGTTATTATTCATATTTCTAAAGAAGCCTATTTGATATAAGTATAAACTGAAACCCAAAAGAAGAACAAATAAAAACCTAATAGGACTGGAATAGAAATATATAACAATGAAGAGAACCGCGGCTCTGGTCAACATATAAAATACTTCGAGCCAGTCTCTTTCGGGATTATCGGGATCTCTGGCAACGGCGGGAGCTTCTGCAGGAGCTGCTGGAGGTTGTTCTGGTTGGTTGGGAACTGGTTCTCCATTATTTGGTATCGCCTGAGCTGATGTTCCATATGAATTTGCTGCCCTAAAAATAAAAATAAAATATAATTAGTAACCAAATATGATACAGACCTATGTAGTTGTCAAGATATAACTCAAATTCAATGTGTAAGATAATTTCTCTTAAAGTCGACTTTACACTACATGATTTATCATATGAAAATATCATATGAGATTTGTTATGATTCCTCGTTTCTATGATGTGTTAAAATCGTGTTTACACTGAATAATAAGTTGTGACTTATGATATGAGTGACAATGAGGTTATGTTGATTTTTCTTTTTGTTAAGGGTCATATAAATATTAAGACACAGTATAGGCAACAACTATTAGATTTATAAACTATTGTAATGGAAAATGAATCTTTGCTTGCTCGGCTTCCCGATTTTTACAGCTAATAGTAAGAAGAAAAAGATCAGACGCCTTTGGGCTCGTAGGTGGCTCTTAATTATGACTAAGAAGAATATAAAATACTAAACTAAGAATAAAATAAACTAAATAAATAAAAAATTAAAAATACGATACAATAGTACATATTAGACAATATTGTTCTGAAGCTATTTTCTTGTGGCATTTTAAATTAATTACTATTTAACCTTAAATAAGCCACAATTAAAGACAAAAATACGTTTATTGACGTTTCAATTCCACTTCGGAAATCGTTTTCAAAATACAAACAGTTAATTAAACAAATTTTGTTTTTTGTTACATAGTGAAAAATTCTTCTAATAATTTAATTTTATCTGACTCATTTATATTGATAATTCAGACATACATTATGCATTTTAAAGTAGACGACTTTAAAATGATATTGCCAATATTGTTGAGTTGCGCTCCTGGGACGACTTTACTTATAAGATAGTTCATTCGATTACATGAAATCAACTTTAACTTGAGAATATCCGTCAGAAAAAATCATAGCATGTAATTCGTCTTTAAAAAGACAAATACATGACATAATGACAGTAAAATTCATTCTCCTGTTAGTGATTCCATAGTAAATTATGAGGGAAAAACGAGGAAAAAAACCTCATAATACTATCCCGACATGGTAAGTATTTGTTCGTGCATTTAGTTTACCTTAAATAAACACCAAAATTATGATTTTATATGTTTCGTTACTTAAAAAACATAAATGATGTATCCTCTATATGTTACTGACTTACTAATACTGGTATTTTCTTATTAATAACTTCCTCTTTCAATATTGGTAACCAGATCCTACTGCATTCTGCCGAGGAATTTGCGACACAATTTGCCTCATTTAGCATAATTAGAGCCGCTTCTTTGATTATGATTATTATGTAATTATGCTAAATGAGGCCAATTGTGTCGCAAATTCCTCGGCAGAATGCAGTAGGATCTGGTTACCAATATTGAAAGAGAAAGTTATTAATAAGAAAATACCAGTATTAGTAAGTCAGTAACATATAGAGGATACATCATTTATGTTTTTTAAGTAACGAAACATATAAAATCATAATTTTGGTGTTTATTGAAGGTAAACTAAATGCACGAACAAATACTTACCATGTCGGGATAGTATTATGAGGTTTTTTTCCTCGTTTTTCCCTCATAATTTACTATGGAGAATTTTACTGTCATCATGTCATGTGTTTGTCTTTTTAAAGACGAATTACATGCTATGATTTTTCTGACGGATATTCTCAAGTTAAAGTTGATTTCATGTAATCGCATGAACTATCTTATAAGCAAAGTCGTCCCAGGAGCGCAACTCAACAATATTGGCAATATCATTTTAAAGTCGTCTACTTTAAAATGCATAATGTATGTCTAAATTGAGTCAGATAAAATTAAATTATTAGAAGAATTTTTCACTATGTAACAAAAAACAAAATTTGTTTAATTTACTGTTTGTATTTTGAGAACGATTTCCGAAGTGGAAATTGAAACGTCAATAAACGTATTTTTATCTTTAATTGTGGCTTATTCCCAGTTAAATAGTAATTAATATTAGACAATAGGCTCAATATCAAAGCAACAAACAAATAATAAATAAATAAAATATTTTATCCCTCGGTAAGAGAGTGTCACTGAAATGACATAAGAATAAGGCGCGATATATAAATATGTTAGTGTTACCGACATTGTTACCGAAAATTATATGGTTTTATCATGCGGAATTACTATAAACGCTAAAAAAACGAAGTACATGTTGATTACAAAAAGGCCACAAAATATACATCACCTATTGACAATAAATGGTAACGTGATAGAACAAGTAGAAAAATATCAGTATTTGGGAACTTTGATCAATGAAACCAATGATCATACTGTAGAAATAAATAGACGAATAGAGATTGCCAGATCAGCATTTATACGAATGAAGCCACTCCTAACGTGCAAAAATCTAAATTTGGAGATCAGACTACGTACCATTCGCTGTTATATATTTTCAATATCATTATATGGAGCTGAGACTTGGACATTAAAAAAATGTAATTTAAAAAGAATCGAGGCCTTCGAACTCTGGTTATACCGCAGAGTATTGAAAATATCATGGACTGATAGAATTACAAATAAAGAAGTACTGGAGAGGGTTGGTAAAGAAACAGAACTAATCACCACTATACAAACCAGAAAACTGGAATACCTAGGCCACGTGATGAGGGGACCAAAATATGAAATTTTGAGACTGATAATACAGGGAAAGATTCAAGGAAGAAGATCTGTTGGCCGAAGGCAGAACTCATGGTTAAAGAATCTACGTGATTGGTACCAATGCATATCGATTGATTTGTTTAGAGCAGCAAGTTCTAAAATAAAAATAGCCATTATGATTGCCAACCTCCGTAGGGAGATGGCACTCTAAGAAGAAGATCATGCGGAATGCGTCCTATTCTCCTGTGACAAGCTTTGACGAGCTACATGACACTATTTATGAAAAAATCATATGACAAATCAGACAGTGTAAACATGTAAATTTCACTCCATGACCAAATCATATGACAAATCACATGATAAGTCATGTACTGTAAAGTCGACTTAAGTAATGCAACAAATTTTAAAGATGATCCAACTGTCCAAAAATGCAATTCGGGAACAGAAAATTTATTCGAATAAAAAGATTTATAGTCCGTTCGCTCGGCTTGGGAATATTTTGAGAGATTCTTTATAGTTCGGCAGCTGGGTACCGTTCTGTATGCATGGAAGGTGGTTGAAAACTATTCTATCTTATGTAAAATGTTTCGCCGAATACGAATATGTAGGTTCCCCATCTCAAAAAGTGGTACCAATTTTTATAAACAGCTTTTTTATAAATAAATTTTCAAATTTGAATATTTTAATTTACAACTGCCAGTCACATCGTAAAGCACGGCTAAAATGACATTAAAACTGCTATATATGTTATAGGTATATAAAAGTTAATAAAAATGTTAAGTCGAGAAATCGAAGATTATACCTAACTTTTAGTCCTGATAACTTCTTTCATGGTGCATATTTCTCTAAAAGCTGGACATAAATCGAAAGTTTAAACCTATTTCGACAATTTATTATTGAAAAAAATGGAAAAAACTTTCTTCTTCATTGAGTTAACAAGCAATAATACAATAGTAGCTATTTTTAAATCTCAATAACCGTTTGAAGCATGTCTAATGTAGACAAGTTACTAGCCCGCCGTGTGTTTGTTGATTCTGCAAGGGCGAAAAGCTATTTGTTTATTGCTTGTTAACTGAATGAAAAATAAAGTCATTTTTTTCAATAGTCAATTGTTAAAGTAGGTTGAAACTTTCGATTTTGTCCTGCTTTTTGAGAAATATGCAGCATGTAAAAAGTTATGAGAACTAAAAGGTAGGGAAAATCTTTTTCCACTTTAATATTTATAGCATTTTGAACGTCTTTTTAGCTGTAAAATATTCAACAGAAAGACATTTTAGATTTAATTTCAATGCAGGGCCACTCTCATCCGCTTATACGTATTTAGACCTTCTTTAAGTCTCATCAGAGCGGAATACGCAGAAGGTCTCAGAGCAAACGTTCCAAGGAAAAGAGCAAGAGGGCAGATAGCGGTCAACAACCAGATGGTCCGACAAAATTCGGAATTCAGTGGGCAAGAATTCAGAATTTAAGCTAAAATCTTTACTTTCTTCGGTAATAGAGGAACTAACGCCACCTTTCTTTTCATTCCAAATGAAACAATAATCATCTTTTGTTTAAGCATTAAATATAGTAAAGTTTTGTACAACCAACTTCATTTTGTAAGAGAGAAGGGAATTAGGACACAGGACAGACTGCAAGTCTATTGTCCAAACTTTACGTTTCTCAATGTTTTCCGTTCTCTTTTGTAGCTTCTAACTTCTTCTCTTTTATAGGGACGAGAATTTAAAAAGGGCTTTTTCTTCTTAAGTTATAAGTTAATGAATATACCAGCAGTACATTACAACATTTACTCTATTCACCCCCTATATCAATAACACACTCAAATACATCTATTAACATATAGGGCCTTTTTTTTAATCTTTAGTTCTCCACCATCGAATTCAGATATCTGTATAATTTGTTGCCTAGCTATATTCATAACTGTATCAACCTTTAGTCCACCTACAATAATACTTAATTTACAAATTTTCCAACAAGATTTCAGGATACTGATTTTCCAGATACTTTAAATTACATGTCCTCTTACTTTTTGTTGTGTGAATACAACGTTTTTTATTAGTTTGGACTGGGTTGACTATTCTAACTAAAACTCCTCGATTAAACTCAGTTTATATTAATTTAGTGTGAAGCAATTGAAAGTGCGAAGTGAAACAATTCACTCCGATATGCCGTTCGTTCTATGGCTGACAGTGATCTCTCGTTCTGGTGTTAAATGCGTCGAGTGCGGCGCAAATCGACGACGGCCAAGTACAGTGCCGTAACACTCTTTATGTACATTGAAGCGCACAGTTGACTCTCTTAACCTCGCTATTGCTCACTCCTGTTCACAAGTAATTTGAAAAAATAAACGTTAAGTGACTCATAATCACAAGCAATATGAATGAGTAATAATAAAAACAATAA